GATCATCTTTGATGTGCCACATTCACCACCTGGTGGCAACTGAATAGAAATCAAATGCAATAGAAAAGAAAAAAAATTGCCCAGAAGTTACTTTGTGAATTACCCTTACAGAAAAATATGGAAGATTATGTGTAATGTCCCACATTCCTTTAAAATCACATTTATTTTTGTTATGAAAATCTATTTCCTCAAGTGAAACAGTTGTGAATCTAAATAACTATAGATAAGAAATCAAACATATTTCCACATCCACTGAAGTGTAACCACTGTTAACATTTTGGGTATAAGGCTGGGCGTGATGGCACATGCCTGTAATCCCAGCACTTGGGAGGCTGAGGCAGGAGGATCGCTGTGAATTCACAAGCAGCCTGGACTACATAATGAGTTCCAGGTCAGTCTCAACTACATAGTGAGACCCTGTCTCAAAAAACCAAAACAAAACAAAATAAAACAAAAAAACATTTTGGGTACAGATTCCTCTAGAAAGTTTCTCATGTGTATACAGTACACATGCATTATTTTCCTCAAAGAAACCATCTTTTAAAAATTTGTCCTGTTTTGTAACCCCTCCTACCTTTACCAGCTGCTGTTTGAGTCAATGCTCTGAGAGAGCATGTTGGTTGATGAGAGGGGAGGTAAATCATCTTTGCTCGCCCCACCCCACCATCTTGGAATCCATGAGCAACGCCTGTATAGAGACAGACAGCTACTCTCGTGGCTTCTTGGTCCGAGTGGCCTGTTCATAGCACACACAAAAAAGTTTAGGTTAATGAGATTGCACTGCTGAGTCCAGAAAATGAGACCCAGATGAACTGATTAGCAAGCACGGCAGAAACATGTAAATAGATAATACTTTAGAAGTGGTTTTTTAGGGCGCTGTCACAGAGCAAAGTTAAGATCAGAGAAACCAAGGCAAGCCAAAGCCGAGTGCCAGTCAGGTCAGTACGAAGGTACAGGAAAGGCACAGGGAGGGCTTTGGGAAGCCAGGTGCTGTGGCTCACGTGTGGATGTCCCCCCAGCGCCTGTGCACCCATAAGTGAGGCTTTGGGGACCCATCCACTGATGGGTTTACAGCGGGGGTGTGACGATGGCACGGGACGCCTGAGGAAGAGGCGGGTCACCGCGGGCGAGGCCTGGAATGGGGTACCCCCTCCTCCACCCTCAGTGGCTTCCTGCCTGCCGGCCCCTCTGCCGGGCTGCCTGCCGTGGAACCAACTGACTCTGGCCTGAAACTCTGTGAAGTGTGAGCTGAAATAAACCCCTTTTCCTCCTTCGGGTGTGAATGTTGGGTATTTTGTTCCAGCAGGGACAAGGTAACTAAGACAGCAGACGTATTTCCTCTGATTTGGTGGACGTGCTTCAAAGTGACCCTGATAGAATTTAAACCTGATTTGGCCGTATTTCTGCTTAAATGCCCTTAAGGTGGCTGCAGGGGGTGCTAGGTGGGCTGGTTCTTCTTACCTCTCCAGTGGCACTGTCGGGTGGTGGTTATTATTAGGCTTCATCGAGCAGCGTTTCTGACTACAAAGTCCCTTCTCCTTTCTCTAATTTCCATACTATAGCAGGGGGCGCTACTGTCTGTCCATGGCCCCACGTGGCCTTCAGGGCCCAGCACCTTACACGATACCTGGGTTATACTGTTCCTTCCATGATTAGACAGAGCCCTGAGAGCATTCTGCAAGTTTGCATGGGCATCCATGCAGCCGAGAGGAGCGGGAGATAGACAGAGAGGAGGGGCCTTTCAGATGTGGCTCCAGTTCTGGGTGATGTGTTCCTTTAGGCAACCTCACCACAGCACATGTGGTCCAGCCCTGTTCTTTGGACTACACCCAAGGATTAGCACAAGCATTAAAGAGCAAGTGTCATCTTCAGAACGCTGAAGGGCCACAGTACACTGAGCACTCCGGAAGTAACTCTAGTGCATGTCAGGGAGGACAGCCTGATTGTCACCAGGCATAAGCTTTCTGGCAATCAAGCCCTACTGCTGGGGCTACCACTTCCCTCAAAGGGACCTGGACCCACTGTGAACACCCGAGGCTGAGGTCTAGGGTAGAGAGCTGTGCCAGCCAGCTGGCAGGTGCCAGGCTGGTCCTCCGCGGGTCACCTGGCACCAGGCAGTGGCTATTTACATGTGAGTTTGGAAAGTATTTCAAAGTATTAGCAATTTTATTAGCCATTCTGAGGCTTATTTGCTGGATAGTAATCCTGCGGAAGGCTTATTTCATTTGCTTTGGGTTCTGAGCAATAGGAAAGGGAAAGGATTCACATTTCATTACTCAACCCAGGGAACTGCTAAAACTTTGGGATTCATAAGGCTGCTTATCCACGCCTCTGGCCTAAGAGAGGAAACGGTGGAGAACTACTGTTGGGTCACAGGCACCACAGTGTCCTACATCACTCATCTTGGGACAGGTAAGAGAGGGAGTCCCTACCCTTTCGGGATCAATAAGGTGGTCAACATCCCCATCTGAGCCACTGAATCAAGTGTTTTCCACACTTCCTGCCTGTAACAGGTGAGCAGTGCCCTATCTTCTGGCCTGCAGTTGTGGGGCCCAGTTCTTGTTTGGAGACATCCAGAACTTTAAGTGCATGGCCTACATTTTGTGCATCTTCGGGCTAAGAGGTACAAAGGCCACTGTGCTCAGAGCTTTGAGGTAAGGACCAGTGATGCCACTGACTTACCCTACAGCGTGGCAAAGAACACTGGCATCAAAAACGCTTTACCCACAAAAGGCCATTTTGTAAAAATTTGGGAAACTGTGTGTGGAAGGGAAGGTAAATCGTCCGCTTTTTAACACCAGTCTGAGAGGTATGAAAGAAGGGAGTAAAAAATTGAACATGGAGTCTTCCTGCTCACCCCGTGAGCCCGTGAGCGTGGAAGCAATGACAGCACAGACCAGGCAAGACAACCACAGGGGGCTACGGCCGGGAGAAGGGAGGGTCTCCAAGCTTCCCCGGAAGTGGGCCATGGAAACAGTCACGGTAAACACCTCCTTGCTGGCCCGGACAGACGTACTCACCTCACTGGCGAGGTTGAGGGATGGGTCAGGGCTGGGTGTGGAGGGTCTTCACTTCAACCATGGTGATGTTTTACCAGGGTCTCCAGAGACCTCCACTGGCGGCCAGTCATTGACTTCAAGGAAGGGCAGTAGGAGGGAATCCCTTTTCAGTTACTCAGCGCTGGCGAAGGCTTCTAGATCATCTTTGATGTGTGGTGGGTACTTAATTCAAAGAGCACTTACATTTTGGTAACTTTTGCCATCTTATTTTTCCACACCAATGCCATTTTTACCTTGATTAAAATATAAAACTTAGTGTACACAAAATCTCCTTCATGATCAGTTAATCATGTGTCAAATCTGTAAGCCTGCTTACCATGTCCTGGCTAAATTTCCCTGGCTGGCTACACGCCATGATTCTCCTGCCTTAGCCTCTCAGGCGAGATGCACCACACCCTGCTCAGGACTGCTTTTGGAAAAATATAGAGATAACGTCAGCTAGAGTTCCTATTCTCAAAGAAAGTACAGTTTGAGAGAGAAAATTAGCACTCAGCAGTCAATTAGGCAAGAAATAAACCGTGAACTATGACCCTGATTGGAAGTGTAACTCAAACTCTGAGAGGAAGAATTTAATATAGGTTAAAGACCACTGCAGGAAGATTCGACTGAAGTGAAGCCTTCAAGATAAAGATTTCAGCAAAGGATAAAAAGGGAATGGGTTTTGTGGTATGAGAAATATAAGAGCTAAAACATAGAGGCAGAAGATCAACATTTTGTGTTCAGGACACCCAGGAGAGATCTGTGTAACAGGAAAAAGAGCAAGTGAATGGAAAATAAGATTAGACAGCTATAAAGTGGATTGAGTTGTTTCTGTTTTTTCAAAAGTCAGTTTGAACTAAGTGCTGTAAACCGCCATTGTCTAACACAGACTTAATGTAGGCCACATGTGTAATTAAGTTTCCTAGTAGCCACATGTAAAAGGCAAGTGAAATAGGTGAAATGAATTTCAACAATATATTTTCACTAACTCAATATACCCAAAATATTGTCTAACGTAATACACATATAATTTTTATACTTCTTTCGCTTTTCAATGTAAATTTTAGGAATTCAACTCCTCAGGTATACTAGCTACATTTCAATAGCTCAGTAGGGTTAACATAAGCCATGGGGAATCGTGAGATGATTTAGCAGCTGAATAATCAATAGAACGTGGCAGCTCAGGAAGATTCGTGGCCTGTAAGGTGCAGGGTGAGTTGGAGGGTGGGATGGTTAAGGGCTGAGAGGGGAGGTGGACCCGGAGTGAGTCAAAAGTGGACTCAAATGGCGGCAATGGGTTGCTGAGAGGCTGAGCACACCTGTGAGTCTTTCAGAGACAAATTGCTGTGGTTTTGACAACTGACTGGCAATTAGAGGAGAAAAAAATCCCCTTGGTAGCCAGCCTCACACAACTCTCAGGGACCCTCACCATCCCACACTGCGCTGGGTTGGCTTGTGTGGCCAACAGGGTAAGTGTGGGAAGCCAGCCATGGCCCACTGGCTTTTTGAAAGATAACATTTGTTCCTTTTTAAGGACTGCACGTGTTAAACTTGTTTTTGACCCTGCACGGGAGAAACTCGGACAGCCAAAGATCTGTAGGAGTCAGGTGGTTCCTGTTAAAGATCTGACGTTATCTGTAGTGTCAGGTGTTGTAACTCCATTTTGTTAAGTTCCTCCACCTATTTGGGAATCATGATTATTAGTTGCAAGTGTTGTTAATTTGTTTTTCTTGAGCCTGCTTTCTCTTTCCCGTGTGAGCCCTCGTTCCCGTGGAGCGGGTGTTGAGGTTACTATGGTAATCCTAGCCCATAATAGTTCGGTCTTTTCCTTTAAAAGGCTGATGCCTGCCTGCAATAAACGTTGCCTTGATCAGACGCTTGTCTTGGCGTCCTTCCTTTCTCTCTGCCCCATCTCCACCCCGCTGCTCTTTCAGGTTTGAGACACTGCTGGATAGTGCTCTGCGTCGCCGCCTCGCGACAGGTAAGCGGAGGTGAGGGTCTGTCCTCTCCAAAACTGGGTTGTGAGAGATATGAAGGCTTCTGCCCGCATGGCTCTTTCTAGGGTCTCTTGCCATGGAGAAAGCAAGCTGCTACTCAGTAAGCAGCGCCACAGAAATAGGCCTTCGTGGCAATGACTTGAAGCCTCTAACAACCACAGGAGTTTGCAGGTGCTGCCTTCCGGCCCAGAGGCATTCAGGTGACTAAAATCCTAGGTAATACTGCAGCCCAGGAGAGACCCTCAGCCGGAACCACCTGACTCAGCTTCCCTCTGATTCTGGAGCCTCAGAATCTCTGAGAAGTAATCAGTGGTTACTGCTTTAAGCTGTAAATGTGTTTGAAACGGCAATAGAAAATTATAATATCAAACGACAATCAAATAGCCCAATTTAAAAACAGATAAGAAATTGAACAGTACTTTAAAAAGAAGGTAATGAGCATTTGAAAAAGTACTCGGCATCAGAGATATGAGGGAAATGAAAATTAAAAGCACAATGAGATAACATTACACACACACAAACGCTAGGATGACTAAAACCGGATGACACAAAATATTGAGGATATGGAGCAACCCAAATTTTTTTTTTATAAATTCAGACATAATTTACATACATACAATTCACCCATTTAAAGGAAACAAGTCCTGACCCTAGCACAGTTGCTCAAATGGTTAGTCATAAAGTTACCATACAACCCAACAACACCACCCCTAGGTGTCTGGAGACGTTGCCCGAGTCCACAAAAAAATATTTGTATTTGAATGTTGTACAGCACTATTCCTAATAGCTGAAAAGGAGGAACAATCCAAGTGTCCAACAGCTGATGAAAAGGTACAAAAGTTACAAATTCATGTGACAAAAGATTATTGACCAAGGAAAGGAAGTGAAGTACCAAGGCATACTTCAGCGTTTCCACTTCTCTCAATGTTTAGATAATCAAATCTATGGAGACAAAGTAGACCAGGGCTCGCCTAGGGTCGGAGAGGAGGCAGGAGGAAGGGAGGGCGACAGGGCAGAGGTACCGGGTTTCCCCATGGAATAATGAAGATTCCAAAACTGATGGTGATGCTGGGGACAGGACTGGTCGTATAATTTGTGGGCCGAGTGAGAAATGAAAATGTGGGATACCTTGTTCAAAAATTACTAGGTGCAGAACATTAAAACCAAGCACAGGCCCTTTTTGAGTAAGAAACCTTACAACACACAGGTTGTTTGCCATGAAGCTAGGCAGACAAGGAAGACTGGAAGCTCAGGCGGTAACAGGAAAGCCTGTGCTCTTCTCAGGAGGCTGTGCCTGACAGCACCACCTGCTCATCTGTGCCCAGAGGCTGAGGCAGGATGAGCTCCAACTGCAGCTGGTTCAGGACCAACCGCAGGTCTGGTGTGTCTTCCCTGAGTTCAGTGGGAATTTCCTTATGTGTTAGAAATTACCTTATTAGAAAGGTAATTTTTGATCAAAGCTTTGGTAGTGTGTGTCTCTGAATACCAAGGAGCCAGTAGTGATTCCTATAGGATTGTGGGGAGCAGGGTGTTTGCCTAGCATGTGAGAGGCCCTGGTTTGATCCACAGGAGCACAAAAATAAAAAACACAAAACCCCCAAAACAGTCCCTCCCCCAAATAAAAATCCCTTTAACGCCTTGCTCTGTAAACCCCACTCCATCGAATTCCTTATTTCTAACAAACATCAATCCTTTATTGGTGATGGAATTTTGCTGCTAGACATCTGGGTGGATTTGGAAGCAACGCCATAGCACGTCCCAGCTGTTCGGTTAAATCTTTGTTTCCTTTAAGAATAAGCTACTTTCTGAATGTAATTATGCTTTTACAGGTAACAGTCATTTTTAGTTTACTTGGTGAAGGCACATCTATCACCTCTTAATCAGATATTGCTGTCTGTCTTTGAGGAAGATGGAGCTTGGTACCCCAACTAAAATGGGAACAGAGTTCGGCTAAATGGGGTAGTAAATTACGTTGATAGCTCCCTGTTACCAAGTGTATTTTGCCTGATTCTAAAAGAATATTACATTTATATTTTTGAATACAAACTTAAAATTCATGAAATGTTTTCATATCCATACTGTGATCAAATTAACAGGCCTCGGGGAAGTAAAAGAATTGGTTGTACACATGTACCAACTCTCCACGACGAATGTAATCAATCACTGTGTACTGCAAATATGTACTAATGAAGATAAAAACAAATCAGTGGGCCAGGTCAGGCGAATGGTTTTTCCCAAAATAGCCTCTAGAGGGCAGTCAAGCTTTCCAGTTTATCTAAGACCGCGCTCTCCTTTCCGTCAACTCTCTCTCCACGCCTTCGCGGTGGCCCCGCCCTTCCCTTAATCCCGGCCCCGCCCAGGCCCGTCGCCCTTATCCTTTACCCGAGCCCGGGTTCGCG